AACCCCCCAACCATGGCCCCTCCTGAAGGGGAGTTTCATTTTCCCCCTGTGCCTGCGGGGGTTTTCCCCCTGGTGCCCTTTTTTTCCTCCAAAGAAGCGGGTGGGAATTTGGGGCCCCTGTCTAAATTGCCTATATGTGTATGTATGAATGTGAATTAGGACCTTAGAATTTGTACGCCCCTTAGAAGGGTTAGGGACGTTGATGTGAATGAGTGCAATATATATATGTACAAGCCATGGATTAAATTCGCCAGCGCTAATTATAAAGCGTACGCTAGTCGCATAATAAATAAAAAATATGTTTAGAAATAACATTATATTATATGTATTAAAAAAAATCATGAAGAAATAGTACTTGAAAAAAATACACATGATTTAGTATTTTTTTATGCTTTTTCCTTCTGTTTTCACCTGGGTAATCTGGCTCAGATAACACCATCTCCTGGTATTACGAGCGCCCCCACGCTGCACACCTTTTTTAAAAATACATATTTTTAAAAATATATTCTTCAGATTTTTTTAACATGTAAAAAAGTCATTTAACATATATTTTTACATATATATAATCAAATGCATTCCAAAAATTGTAGATTTGTATTTTAAAAGATGACTCATACAGTATATTAGAAAATGTAATGTATTATTTTCAAAATATACTTCATATATTTTTGTAATAAAAATGCATTTCAACATGCAGTATGTACATATATAAATATAGATAAATATATATATTGAAAATGGCCAAAATTGCAGGAGCATCTTCAAATGTATGTCAATAGTATTATTGGGAAGAATGAGTTTTTTAAAATATATTTGAAATATATTTTTCTTTCGTATGGATAGATTTAATTTTAGAAATGGGTGTAGGTTTACTATATAATCATATTGGTAGTAAAAGGCCACCCCGACAAAGTTATAATAAGTTTATACTGTGTGTAGATAGAAAAGTGAGAGCGCACTCCAGTAAGCATGGCAAATGCACAAAAAGGAACCACCAACCTTCCAACTAAAATAGACAAAATAAAAGTGCAGCGCTAAAAACAATATCCTTATAGCAATTTAAAATGGGAAAATATAATTGTCCAATGCGGTGATATCAGATGTGGTAAACAGTTCAATTTATGAGGAACTTCCAAAAAACATTAGTGAAATCTAATCCAATACCAAAGGGGGTAGATAGATTGCCCGCTTACCGGAAGCGCAATCTCAATGCGCATGTACAGGTCTCATGTAGCCGAGGTCTCATGTAGGCGCTTGCTTAATAGTACCCAGATGGTCCATCAGTGATAAGGCGATATACTGGTCTGGTCGGATCACACTGCTCCTTGGATCCACACAGAGCCTAAAAATGCTGGGGCTGAGGTATGGGGACTCGGTGCCAGATATAAGAGGTAAAGATGCTCATAGTGTAGTATTTAAAAAAAAAAAAAAAATATTTATTAAATCCAATATATAAAAAAAACCATAGGGGTTACAAAGCACATGCCTGCAGCCTGTAGCCAGTAAAAGCAGCTGTAAAAAACATCTAAGCACTGACCAGTGAGAAACATGGGTTGGCCGCTGGACCTCCTGACCCGGCGTGACGTCAAGGCGTGCGAAGGCTCCTCCTAGACGCGTTTCGTGTCAATACCCGTCTACCGTAGGGGTGATGCCACCCCCTACGGTAGACGTGTATTGACACGAAACGCGTCTAGAAGGAGCTTCCTTCGCACGCCTTGAAGTCACGCCGCCGGTCAGGAGGTCCGGCGGCCAACCCATGTTTCTCACTGGTCAGTGCTTAGATGTTTTTTACAGCTGCTTTTACTGGCTACTACAGGCTGAAGGCATGTGCTTTGTAACCCCTATGGGTTTTTTTATATATTGGATTTAATAAATATATATATATATTTTTTAAATACCACACTATGACCATCTTTACCTCTTATATCTGGCACCGAGTCCCCATACCTCAGCCCCAGCATTTTTAGGCTCTGTGTCAGGGATCTCCTCGATCCCTGCCGCGATGGTCCCGGCGCAGGCGCACTGCTCCACCCAGTACACGGGCACTAGGTCCCGGCCGGCCGCGGCGTTCGAGTTCGCGCAATGCGCAGTAGAAGCCGCGGCCGCCCGCTGGGCACCAATGGCAGCGCAGGGCGGGATATTTAAAGGTCCCTGAGCTGTCATTTCGTTGCCTTCTGGTCTTACCTGCTTCCTGTGATCCTGTACCTGTGCCTAGTAAGTTATTGACCCGGATTGCTCTTGACCCTTGCTGATTTCTCCTGCCCAGACCCTTGCTTGCCTGACTCTCTCCCTGGATGCCCCTCATTAGATCTGACCTCCTGTTGCTGACCTGGCGTGCTGACCCGACGATTTCTCTGCCTGCTCCCCTTGTACCTTACCGTCCTTCTACATTACCGACTCGGCTGTCCCTGACTACGCACTCTTGCTCAGCCTCCATCCATCCATCCCATCGGGGTCACCCGACTCCTCACATCTGGCTCTCCCTGGGTTTGGAGCGCCCTGGCTGAACACTGCCCTACCACTGACAGGTGTGAACTTCAGTAGAGGCGACCTGGTTCGTGGTCTACTACTAACAAGTCCATCCCCTACCATCAGGGGCCCTCGGTGGAACAAGTTACCCTGGGGCTTCGACTCCGCGCCTCTGGGCACGCTACTGACCAGATGTGAGTGCTAGTGGTGTCGCTCGGCTGGTCCCTCACACTCTGAGTGGATCCAAGGAAGCAGTGTGATCGACCAGACACAGTATGCGCCTTATCACTGACGGACCATCTGCGAGGTACTATTAAGGCAGCGCCTACATGAGACCTCGGTACATGAGACCTGTACATGCGCATTGAGATTGCGCTTCCGGTAAGCGGGCGCAGATATATCTACCCCTTTGGTATTGGATTGGGATTACACTATGTTTTTTTCTGGAAGTTTCCTCTTAAATTGAACTTTTACCACATCTGATATCACCGCATTGGACAATTATATTGTTCCCTTTTTAATTTGTTGCTATAAGGAAATTGTTTTAGCGCGTGAACTTTATATATTTCTATATTAGTTATACTGTGATGGACTTAGTCTTCCTTGGCACCTTATATGTCTTGGATACCCCAATAGTCGTGCGGGGTGATATTATCCGTGCCATTATGGACAACTTTGCTCATGCATTTTCTGTATCAGCTTTTGCAGTGATCTATTTGTTTCTTGTAACTTCTGAGCTGTGGGTCACAAGTCAGCAGCAAAGCTGTTCTTGACTACTTGTATGTAGCACCTTAACACTTCCCTCTTGAGGGCCGATCGGCTGGATTGGTTTTGGGTCCCCCTCTAGCTCTGCACAGCAGAGCAACACACATTTTCCTCACTTGCACACTTGGATCAGTAATACATCCCTTGAGCTGGTTTTAGTTGTTTTTATTAAGGGGGTTAACAGCTTGGATGGGTCTAAAGTATATGGGATAAGGAACAATACAAACTTGAAGACATAAACTTCTTAGAACTATATGTACAAGAAAAAGTGGATCAAAAATAGCAACTGCCCTTCTTAAGGAGCACTGAAATCCCTTGAGTGTACCTCCTCAGACCCCAGCATGAATCCTCTCCTCTTCACCAGCTGCACTCAGGGTATCCTGGGCAAAGGGATTCCAAATCTACAAGTTACATAGTTCCAGATGAGAACTAGTTGGACTATTTCACCTGAATGCCCTCTCCTATATTGGGCCAAAGGGTGGTAGGAGTGCTTACACTATCCTGTCCTGTCAGCATGGTGGGTTGGTAGCTGCTTTCAGGCCTTTCGCGTGGGTGCTCCTTCCCCTCTGCTCAGGATGTCCTCCTAGGAGACTTTGGGCAGATGGAGATCCTCCTTTCCAGCATCCTGCCAGTAGGAAAGGCTCCCCTCCCAGGCATCACACTCCAGCCTTTCTCTCAATCTAATCTACCTCCCAACTCTGGTGCTCGTTCCCAAGCCACATGTAAGGGTTGTCCTTGAGTCACCATTCCAGCCTCCTTTGAATGGGGATTAGCCAAGTTCCTTAAAACATGCAGATCTAGGCTTCCTCCTTTGCCCTCTTCCAGAAAGTTCTGAGTTTTGGAAGGATGGGAGGGACTCAAGAATCCCTGACCCTGTAGAGCCTCCCAGCTATGTACCCTGAGGAGAACTCACTCCCAGGTGACTCATCATCCCAGTCTGCTACCCCAGCCTCTAACTACAAAACAATAAACCTAGCTATCTAAGAGTGTGCTACATGTAGGTCTACAAACACCTTCTCTGTTCCTACATTGCTGCTGCAACAGGAAGACAGCTATAGGTTTCACCTGCTGATTGACATATTCAGCTAATACGTGCCCAATCCTCGTCCAGATGGCCATTAGGGGGTAAATGGAAGCTCTACTAGAAGCTCATTGACCTCTCTATTTAAGTGGACCTTCAAACCTTTTTAAAGTTGATTTCTCCCCTCCTCCTTCCCCTCCTTATAACAAAAAATTTATTCATAAAAGTAAATATTTTTCCCTAAAATTCAGGTCTGTCATTCTTGACTAGGAATGGATGAGGCGATCACCCATTTCCAGGAGGCAGACTGGGGACATGCATATGCGCACATGTGCAGAAACAGCACAGGATGCTCTGCCAGTTCATTGACAGGGGGTCCATGATGTGTCTCTGTGCCTGCACAAGGGGTCCTAGCATATGTACTTATGATGCGCCGAAGGGGCTATGGCAGGCCCTGTAAATCTAGCAGACTTCTGCTCTGTGTCTGTGCAAGCTCTGGTAATATCATCTTATTCAAAAATGGCAGCTATGGAGAGTAGAAGAGTTTTAGGGTGTGAAACTTACTTCAAGCAAAACAATTGCTGGACTCTGGACTGATAAGTATGAGATTTTTTTTTTTTTTTTTTTTTACTATTTTATACAGGGCAAATTTTAGGATTTAAACATGTATTTTTGATAGTAAAGATGGAGTCCTTTTTAAGCTGGGCTCAGTGCTTACATTCCTTGTCTCAACAATGTACCAAAAACCAACGCTCAAATCTCATGTTTAAAACCGCAAGTCAGTCACAAATTTTGACAGCTGCCTTTTGGGGCGTGTTAGGGATCCGGGTGTACTGACAGAATGTGTGGAACTGACACAGGGAAGTAACAGGCTAGTCAGGAATGATATAATAATATATATTTCTATATTAGCTACCCAAATATACAATGCACAGTAAACAAACCAACCTTCCACTAATCTTAGTATGTGCAGGAACACAGGCGCAGTCAGGGCTGGAGAGGTGGAAGGGTCAGGCCGGCCATATGGTTCTGTTAACGACCGTCTGGTAGTACCCCTAGCAGTCCTCAGGACAGGATTCCCCAGGGCGTGGAGTCTAAGTCCCAGTCTGCTTATTCACCAGGCCCCTGATGGTGGGGATGGACTTTGAGCAGACAGGAACCAGGTCGGTCTGGCCCCTGAGTACACCTGCTCATGGTAGAGTTTAGCAACTGTGCGGGCAGCGAGGTACGAAGGAGCAGGCAGAGAATAGTCAGGGTCACAAGCGGGTTTAGTAACTCACGGGCAGCGCGGTACAGAGGATCAGGCAGAGAATGGTCAGGGTCACAAGCCGGGTTCAGTAACTCACGGGCAGCACGGTACATAGGATCAGGCAGAAGGATGGTCACGGTCAGCAGGGTCAGGAACAATGCAGAGTCAGCAACAAATCAGATAGGCAGAGGAACAGGCACAGGATACAAGGTACAGGGGCTCATGGGAAACAACACCAAGGCCCTGACTGCAGGTCTGGCCATTCCTTAAATAAACCTCCTGCAATCAGCCCCAAGTGTTGGCTGACTGCAGGAGTGAGCTTCTGGCTGCTGAGAGCACCCCCCCTGGTCAGCCCTGGTACTGCAGACCACACGGCAGGTGAGTCCCACAACCAGTGCTGAGTCCATTCCTGACAGGGCGTCACTTGCAGGATTTCCCTTGTTCCTTTTGCACAGAGAGGGGGAGTGGCTGGGTTTTCATTATCACTTGGTCTCATATATAAGAATCATCAATATGCATTTTATCCATTGCTCTGAGGAAGGGCGTTCAACTCCCAAAACGCGTTAGCACTTTTCAGCCAAGGACCTTCGCTGTCCGCGATTGTCATCTTTGCCTCCTTGTCTCTGTGTTTATGACTTGTTTTGGTTTTTGAGTATGCATTTGTAATTTTACAATAAATTTCTTTTATATCACGGAAATGCACGAGGAGAGTACACCCTGGTTTTTTTTTTTCATTTTTACATTCCTTGCCTGTATAATAGGTTGCTTCCATCTAGGTTCCAGCTAGAGTTCTTGGTTCCTGTGTACTCCATTGTCTCCAGTGTACTCCAGAGCTCCTGAGTCTCCAGCATCCCTTGCACTACTGTTTCTAGTTTCTTATGATGCTTTCTGCTGCCTGCTCTGACCCTCAGCTTGTCCCTGTGTAGCACATACCCCAAACTTGCCTTGCAGATTTGTCCCAGCTTCTATTCCCACATGAGTGCTTGGCAGCCAGGCATACAGGAGCTCCCACAGTGTAGTATCTTTTTGGAGTTTAATGCTCATTAACCACTTCATGTCCAGACACTTTCACCCCCTTCCTGCCCAGGCTAATTTTCAACTTTCAGCGCTGTCGCACTTTGAATGACAATTGCGCGGTCATGCAACACTGTATCCATATTAATTATTTAGCATTTTTTTTGAGACAGATAAAACTTTATTTTGGTGGTATTTATTCACCACTGGGATTTTTTTTTTTTTGCTATATAAACGAAAAAGTCCAAAAATGTTGAAAAAAAGTGTTTTTCTTATACAATTTTGCAAATAAATAATCTTTCTTTATAAATCTTGGCCAAAATGTATTCAGTTATATTTGTAGTAAAAAAAATAACCCAAATTAGTTTATAACCAAAAATTATAATTTTTTTTAAAAAACATTTTTACATTTTAATTTTATTTTTTATATTGTTTTTTTTAAAACTTACTGTCACCCTAGCAGTACAGTGTCACCATAGTGACACTGTACTACTTGTGGAAGGTGATGAAGATTTTTTTATTTTTTCTTACACTGATTGCTTTTACACCCATAAAGACTGTAAAAGCAATCATTTCTCCTTCTCTCTGGCTGCATTCTGGCAGCCATTGAGAAATACTGTGTGAGCTGTGATTGGTCACAGCTTGTCACATGGTACAAGGCGTTTGTGAATAGCCTTGTACCATGTGACCTCTGTGATCATTCACAGATTTCACACATAGTAAGTAATGATGTCAGAAGTGACATCTTGCTTACACCTATTCATATGATCACTGATTGGCCAATCAGTGATCACATGATTGTGACCTCACACAGAGGTCCCGTACAGTGATCGGTGTTCTGCTGTGTCCAGAGGACACAGCAGGCACCAGATCGCGGTGCTGTGCTCTCCCAGGGAGTGCGAACAATCCAAAATGGCGGGTGCTGTTTATGAACGGCAACCCGCCCCTGGACTGCCACCGTCCGGCCATTTATATACAGTGTCTGGACGGGAAGTGGTTAAACTTAGGATACTCCAGAATTAAGTATGCTCTTCAGGCGTACTTCCCCCAATGTTCGGCAAAGACTACTGGCACAACACTCCTGGGATTTTGGTGGATCCCACTTTGACAGTTCTAGCACAGTCACCAAGGGGTTAAAAAGCAAGCAGTCACTGTGTTATGATCCTCCAGGTGGTGCCTCAGGCTGCCAACTGACAGACCTACCCAGAGCATGGGGTCTAAGCCCGGGCTGTGCTTTCACCAGGGCCCCTGATGGTGGGGATGGACTTGAAACAGTCCCGGGCCAGGTCACGACCTCTGAGCAGGCCCACCAGTGGCTGAGGAGGCCTCCGGGGACGTATGCAGGTACCGGGAGAGCCAGATGTGAAGAGGATGGCGGTCCCA